GCAAATGTTTTGAGAATGATGGGGGCAATGAATGTACAAATGTGCTTTACACAATTGATGTATGTATGGATTGTGATAAGAGTTGTATGAGCCTCCAATAAAATGATTTAAAAAATGTGTATATCAACATGACAGTCTATATTCTATACATGGTAACTTGCAATATTTCTGCCAAAAAAATTTACAACAGATACTAAAGATCTACTATTAGCATTTCTCTGATACACTAAGATATGTTCTGATGGTTAATGTTGTATATCAACTTAGGCTATGTGGTTCTTCCATAATGTAATATAATGCAAGTATCTTTGATGATGCTATCTGATGTGGTCAATCAGTTGAAAGGGAAACCTTGGGACTGTGAACTACCTCAAGTATGTGAACAGATGCTCTGATCATGCTTGTTCTCTCTTCATCCTGTGCTCTCCTTATCATCTGACCTCCAGCTTGGGGAAGGAAGGCCTGCAGAATCTTTAGTTGGCCTCCTGACCTACAGATTGCCAGCCACCATTTCTAAATCAGTAATGCATGTACCCATCACTGATTCGCCTCCTCCAGAGAACCCAAACTAAGACACATACAATGAATCAAATGAATGCCATTAATAACCCAAACAGAGGTTGGGTGCGTTGGCATGTTTTCATTCATGCCTACTTGATGAATGGCCTTGGTCAAGTCACATAAACTCCCTAGACCTCAATGTTCTCATCTGTAAATAGGAGGCTTACAGCAATATTTGACAATTCTGGTGGAGATGATTTAAGTGAAAGACACATAGTGCTCAATTCCTGTCAGCCTTTAGCAGTATTATTTGAAAGTATGGTTATAAATACCTCTATATAATTTATATCATTAATGTAATGCCCATTGGTACCCCTGACATTAGAGTTAAACGTGAAAATAGCATCAAACAAAAGTTTAACAATGATCACAGAGCTGGGTGTGTGTGTGATTCTCTATTTCTGAAAACTTGAAGCATAGTAAATAGTTCTATTATTCTTAATCTCTTCAGGATTTAGGATATTTTTTCTTTTTTTTAAATTTTAATCATTTTATTGGGGGCTCGTACAGCTTTTATCACAATCCATACATACATCCATTGTGTCAAGCATATTTGT